TCATAATTTAGTCCATCATCTGATGAGGAAGATACTCTGAAAGGACCTTTCCAGTTTGGTTCCAGTTTGTTCCTGATGTTGGTTGGGTCATGTAACCAAACAAAGTCACCTGTGTCGTACTTGGAAATGCGTTTTTTCACATCGTACTGTTGTTTCTGTTGTTGCTGTTGCTGTCGTGTATTCTGTATGGTGTACTCCCATGCTTTTCTCAATCGCTCAGACAGGTTGGTTGTGTATTCGAGGAGTGTCTTGCCAGATGACGATGGAGGGGGAATTGAACAGGTGATGTTCGCAGGTGTACGGGCTTCCCTGCAGTGCATGATGTAGTATGGCGTCAAACCTGTTGAGGCATGAGTACTTGTGTTGTACGCTAACTGGACTTGATTGATGTGAGTGTCCCATTCTCCTCCTTGATGAGAAATGTACTTCGCAAGTTGATCTTTGATGGTGCGATTACATCGTTCGACTATGCCAGCTCCTTGGGGATGATAGGGTGTCGATCTAGACTTTTTGATGCCCAATTTGCTGCATAGTTCTTGCACTAATCTTGATTCGAACTGTCGACCTTGGTCGGTGTGCAAAGTCTCTGGAATACCATGTTCTTTCACATATTCTTCAAACAGATGTTTGGCGATGGTTGGAGCAGTCTGATCTTTCATAGGGAAGATATTGACATATTTGCTGAAATGATCGGTCACAACGAGTATGTAGCAAAATCCTCGTCTTGTAACTGGAAGCTCAGCAATGTCGGCAAAGACCATCTCCAAAGGGCGAGTAGTGGTAATGGGACGTAAGGGTGCTTGATGCTTAGGGGTTGGTAACCGGAAAGACTCACAAGCTGTGCATGTGTTGCAGAAATCAGTGATTTCCTTGTTCATGAAGGGCCAATAGCACATTGACTCTGCTCTCTGTATTGTGCGATGAGCGCCGAAATGTCCGGATGATGGGTCACCGTGTAACTCTTGGAGTACCCTTGGAATGAGGGAGTTTGGTACGACAAGTTGGAATGAAAGATTACCCAGCTTGTCTTTCTTCTTCCTGTAGAGTATACCATCTTGGAGTATGAATTTGGGATACTGCCATAAGAGACGTCTAACTCGGGGGTTGTGTCTACGGATCTGTCGAATGGTTGGCCGCTCACCATTGTTGACGCATTCGATGACTGTACTGATGTCTTGATCTAGTTGCTGTTCATGTTGAACATCTACATCACTGTCAAGGATTACACCACGGTAAGGATGAAGGACGTTTGGTGCAGACTGCCTCGTTGAATCATTGGGAGTAGATGCGTCTGTTGATAGTCGTGATCTTGATGAACGAGTCTCGACTGCATTACACAGTGGATTGGTCACCATGTGCTTGAGTAGCTGATCCGTCAATCTTGGAGTGACTTGGCTATCTTGACTCGGGCGTCTAGATAATGCATCTGCATTTCTGTGTGATTGTCCTTTCTTGTGAATAAGGCTGAACGTGTAGGAATTGAGTTCCAATATCCATCGTGTTCTCTTCCCAGTTGCATCGTCTTGAATTGGGAACTTCCTGAGAGCCAAAAGAGGTTTGTGGTCTGTCAGGATAGTGAAGTGTTGGTGTCTCAGATAATGACGAAAATGGCGAACAGCTGTAACAATTGCCCAGAGCTCTCGATCATAGGTAGACCATTTCTTCTGCGTAGCGCTGAGAGTTTGGCTGAAGTAGGAGATTACAACGAACTTGTGTTGTGTAGCCTTGTTCCCTAAGTGCAGAGATGGTACAATTGTTCCAATGTTGTCTACCAGCCCACCTGTGATAGTAGATGCCATGGATGTCAACTTTTCCAACGGGCTCCTTTGCGATGCTGGAATGGATGACAAAAACTTGGCACTCAACAGAGAGATGAATGATCCACTATCTACAAGTGCCAATACATAGACATTGTCGATAACGATCGGGATGTAGGGCGATTTCTTTGGCGAAATAGGTGCTATTCGTATTGGGACCTTGGTTTGTGTAGTTGATGAATGGCCCTCTTCCTCAACTACCAGAAGTTTCCCTGCTGCTGGTCTTCAAAACGAACTTGACGATAGGGAGCCTGTCTATGGGAGTCAAGTTGATAACCTGCAGTGGAAGGATGCTGCTGATTTCGGCTGCTAGATGATTCATACGGCCGTCGAGAGGGCGAAGTCCTAGATTGGTGCGCGTAGCTCCGATTAGGGCTTGAAGATATGCGTCTTGCATATTCAGGAGATCTGCGTCTTGCATATTCCGGAGATCTGTGTCTTGAATATTCTGGAGATCGGTGTCTTGCATATTCTGGAGATCTCTGTCTTGCATATTCTGGCGACCTATGTCTTCGGTAGTCACGGCTTGGTGACGGAGACCCACGACGTTCCATGTGTCTTCCCTCATGGGAGCGTCCTGATGGGCTGCCACCACGTTGCTGAGATCTGCTAGGCCTTTCAACTGTCTCCAACTTTAAGGACATCCTATCCAGTTTCTTTTCTAACTCGTTGAGTCTTGGCAGTAGTAGTCGTAAGACTGATGATTCTGCAGGCGTCTTGTCCTGGACCCGATCATCTACAGCTGCTACTATACCAAAATCGTGTGCTTGGTGTGCTCTTTCTACACGAAGTGCGATCTTCAAGGCCTCGTCAAAATCAAAGCCTCCGAGCTCGTGAATCTTAACTTGAAGTGGTTTGTCTACCCCAGCAACAAATCGTCGAAATCTCTCACCACCTTTTGCATTGTCATCATAAGACGGGAAAGCCTCTTCCACTATTAAGGAAGCAATGGCTGATGCAAATACCTCTAAAGGCTCACCTGGTTGGCGAGTTCGGGCAGTAATACAAGACTTGAATGTGTCAATAAACTGTGTCCGGCCGAAAACCTGAGAGAGTTTCTCTTTCATCTTCTTGAAATCCTTCTTGTCCGAAGCAGACAAGCTCTCCCACACGATGAAGGCTGATCCTGCTAGTCTTGCAGGAAGGAGGGTGGTTAAGTTGATAGAAGTGTCCGAAAACGCCTGTGCAGCAACTTCAAATCGACGTATCCATTGACGGAAGTCTTTGCCGTTCTCTCCCGTAAACACTTCTGGCAATTCCATGCGATAAGATGCCATACTGTAGGAGTTATAAGCAATCGACTCAACAGATATGATCATCAACAAGATATCAACCCAGTAAAACTTACTGAATGAGTCAATGTGAAGGAGGGGGGGGGGTGGGGTCACTCTGAGTGCAGATGAAGAAAATGCAAACTCAACAGTTGAAATATCTGTGGCGAGCGGCTATGATGGAAGGAGGGTGTATTCTGCAACTGGTTACGTTGCTACGCCAACACTATGTAGAATATGCAGGTTGATATGGCAGAATGCTGTAATGTACGGCAGCCAAAGGCAGACTATGGTATACATGCAGACTGAATGTGAAAAGTTGCTAGAAAAATACAGAACTGTATGGAGGGTGAAGAAAAAAAACCTCAGTCACCGATGAAGGATGAATGCAGGAATATTCACCAAAATACAGCTCCAGTATGAAGAAGGGTAAAGGAAATCTCACTTTCTGATGCAGGATGAATGTAGGAATTCACAAAATTACTGATGTAGGAAGAAATCAAGGCTCAAAAAGTCAAGATGAAACTTCAGTAATAATGAAGGAGGTTGAATACACACAAACACTAACTGCCTCAGCTTAAAATGAAGGGAGGTCAATCAGTGAGAAGAAGGGTGATATCATGCTCTCAAACATTCACATTCATATACAGATGGAGGGAGAATTTCACTTTGCAACTCACCACTAAAAACACTGCAGGAATTTCTACATATGAAGGAAGGCTGCAATTACAGTTTAGTGCAGAAAAACCACTGCTGGCACCAGTTGTAAAGTCCCACACAAAACAAAGTGGTCTCACATGGTTGAGGACTTGAGCTGCACTATAGATTTTTATTCCAACCACAAAATGGCTGCCAAGATGGCTGACATGCAGTCCATCAAACAATAATAACCAATCACAAGATTGAACAATAAGTAAGTAACCAATAGAAAAGCTTGTAAAAGATAGAGTGCCATGTGCCATGTGTGCTGGGTTGAATAGCTAAGAGATAAGGAAGAGTGTGTATGTGTGTGGTGCTATAGCAGGTGATGTGCATGAGGATGAATGAATAGGGACAGAACAATAGAAGCCAAGAGCTAGCAGACAGGAGAGAATGAATGTAGGTCAGGAGTGCGCTAAAGCATATCGGAGTGGAAAGCTAAATGTACAGTGTAAAATAAACAAGTAACCACTTGGGTCAGTGAAATTAAAACCTTACAATACGAAGTCGCGATTCATACGCCCCTAAAAGCAGGCTGCAGATACGAAGTTTCGTATCTAGAGAGCTTGACATTTTGTGTGTGAAAGGTTATTCGTGTAAACGTGTTTAAACTGGATGGAGCGTGCGCTTTGATTGATACGACATGACCTTCAATGCGCAATGGCACTACTGCGCATTTTACGAGCAGTATTTAATCACGAAACGATTAACGATCGCACCGAAATTACAGGTGATTGGTTTAAAGCCCTTTAAACTAATCATGTTTATACTTTAGGTCTAGACCTATAGAATTTTAGCTGTGTGTGAAAAGGCTGATAGATAGACTCTAGACTTGATCTTGATCTTGATCTTGATCTTGATCAATCATCTAGATCTAGGGTCTACCGGGGGGTCTACGCACGTAACTCACCTGCATTGGAAAAACAGCAGACTTGTTCCCAACATATCCTGAGACAACATGACTCTGGATTGAAATCACTCTATGATCAGGAAGTGCCATGTTTGGAGTTTTATACTGAGATCTTGATCTAGTAGTGCACAGACACTTACTATACAGCAGTATGAGAGTCGCAACAAACGATTATATGCTCGCATGGGACTAACTGTAGCTGTTAGAACTAGATCTACATGTACATGTGTACGTACGTAGGTACGCTGCATGACTTTCCTTATAATCACGTGATAATTCACATGCCGGTCACCTGTTCACTAGCTTACATAACAAGCGAGGCATCACACACCCGATCATATCATCCAGGCCAGGCCAGCTCGGTACCTCCCCTTAAGCCTAAGCCTAGGCATTAATTCTTACAAACTGCATGCTCATGTTCTGCTCTGGATAAATAACAGCAAGTGTAAGAAAAAATGGGTCGTTTAGCTGGAAAAGTTGCAGTTGTGACGGCAGCTGCCCAAGGCATTGGAAGAGCCACTGCTCAGGTAAATAGTTCATTTGACAGTGTTTTTGAGGTGCCGTGATATTTGTGAAGGAATTAGATTAAATGTTTAGACTAGACTAGTATTAATGAAATGGTGGTAACGTAACTAATTAATGTTATTACCTTTACCTTTGCCCGAGATTCTGGAAGAATGCTGTGTTCTCAGCAGTCGGGCTTCCAGTTCATTTTCATTTTCTTCCTATATACTTATGTTAACTAGTGGTACGGGAATTCTTTAATGACACTGAGATATAGTCGAGGGGACGTAGTCTCAGCGGAACAACCGTTTAACGGTTAATATCAGAGACAGAAACTTTTAGTCTAACTTGGTATGATATGATATCGTTCACTCACATGATCACAATCATCACATCGACCTGACTCATACACCAAGTCATTGCCATTGCCAAGTCATTGTCTGGGCTCAAGATTCGAACACTCGGCATGCTCAGGTTCAATGGGAATTAACATTGAGCCTGAGCTGAGCATGCATCGCAAAGTGTTTGAATCCTGAGCCTGGCACTAATGTCCTTTGGCAAGATACACTTTTGCCACTCTCCACCCAGGGCCCGTTGCATAATTAAACTTACCACTGATGGTAACACCATCAATCATGACCATGGCAACCATCAATCAGCAGCCAATCAAATCAAGGACAAGGTTTCCTTTGAAGTTACCATGATATAACAAAGTTACTATTATAACCGTGATCAATGCTAACTTTTATGCGACCCAGCTAGGGCCCTGTCTTTATACAAAGAGTTGCGATTGATCCAAATCAATTGCAAGTCCTCCAACCAATCGCAAGTTTGTAGTCTCTTACCTCTTATATACATAGTTGCGATTGATATCAACTCTTTAAAGACGGGGCTCGATCTGGTGTAAGTGGTACCCGGTATGTATAAGAATGCTTCATGACTAGGGTAATAATGTTTGAGCCCCAGGAATGGCGCTATACTATAGAGTACCGAAGCTGTGACATCATAACAATCCATTTTTAGAATTTTTCAATTTTTTCTTTATTTTCCGAAAGAGCATCAAAAATAATGTCCAAATGTCGAAAACCAAATGAATATATGTTGAGTATTGGTTGAGATATGACCATCTGAATAAATAAGTTTCCTATAGGAACCCAGTGTTATTTGCTCTGGTTCCTTATTGTTATGAACCAGAGCAAATATTTATAACACTGAGTCCCTATGGGAAACTTTTTTATTTAGATGGTCATATCTCAACCAATACTTAACATATTCATTTGGTTTTCAACATTTAGACATTATTTTTGATGCTCTTTCAGAAAATGAAGAAAAATTTTAGAAAAACTAAAAAAAGATTTGTGATGCCGTCACACTTCACCACTCTATATAAGAAGCTGCCATTGTTCTGAAGAAACCAAGCAAAGTGTATTTTCTATGAAATGATGATGGCCTACATGGTCGGCGATGGGGACTGAGCTGAGCCGTCAAGGTAGATACATCCAGGTAGTGCTCGTTTAAGTGTTGTCAAGGTCCGAGCTAATTTAAATTTCAGGGAGCTGAGCCTGAAGCCTACAGCAAAAAGTGTGAAAGTACAAGGACAGAAATATGAGGAATTCCTTCTTCTTTTTTTAAAATTCTCTTTCAATCGTTGAATCCAGGTAATTTTTTAATCAGCAGACTTATACTTTTTTTTATGAGTCGAGACTCGAGACAGTCAGTGTGTACTTATATTTTAGCATTTCTAAAATGATTGTGAAAATCACTTTTTTAATAATATTTCTAAATGATGATTTACATACCTCACTGCCGAAATCTTGGAACTCGCAGGCAATGCTGCCCGCGACAACAAGAAATCTAGAAATCCAGCCATCTGATTGGTCGAAATTGGAGTCGTGATTTTAGCCATCCCCGTAAAATGCCAAGACCGGTCAATAGTCGTTTGAAAAGAGCCCTAGGGCACTTTTCAAAAGACTATTGACCGGTTTTGGCATTTTACACATATGCAGTATGCGTGCAATCTCAATGGGAAGGATTTTAGCACACAAACTCGAGTGGTGCGCGATCAGACACCCTATTAAGACTAGGTCTCGATAGCGTAAACAACCTTGATTACCATGATTGGTAAGTCGCCAATGTATTCTATGACCCTTGTCGGTATGTAAAAGTTATAATGACTGCTTCAATAATCGAGGTATAGTTGTAATTTTTATAGGAAATTAAAGGAATAGATACAGCTAAAAACTGAATAATTTAAACCCTTACCAAGTGTTGTCATTTTTTAAATATGTGAAGATTGAAACATATTCAACAAAAGCCCTAATTCCTCCATTCTACCTTGCATTCTTGAATTTAAAAAAAAAACCCATCAAATTTACAAGGTGTATGAATAGTTCAGTTGTTAACTGTATTCATCCTATCGCTTATCTTTTAGTTTGTGCTTGGCGGTTTCACTGGAATATCTTTCCACTGGCAAACATATATTTTCTTTTCATAAACTTGACAGGCCCTTGCTCGAGAAGGTGCTACTGTTCATGCGACAGATATTAATCTGGAGAAGCTGAATGAACTCAAGGATACGAAAGGTAAATCAGGGTTACAATTATTGAAATGTGGCATGCGGAATGATGGTGGTTGCGCCTCGATTTCGAGGGTCTCTAGCTGCTTCTACCGTTGTGTTTTTTTCAAGTCTACTTGGTGCCTTCTGATGACTGGCAGAGACATCAACCGGTTAGGGAAGCAAAGTTTTGAGTTAGTTATTAGTATTATTATTATTGTTGTCATTATTATTATAATTACTATTGTTATCATTATTATAATTATTATCAATATTATCATCATTACTATAATTGTTGTTATTGCCATTATTAGTATTATTGTTATTATTGTTATTGATATTATTATTATCATTTGTATTATTAGTATTATCTTTATTATTATTATTATATTTTTTTTAATGAATGTTTACTCACTTTCACTTCCAGTGCTGTAGCTGTGCACAGTAATACCACAATTCATGGTGGGATGCAAACAATGTCACAATGAATAGTGAGTTAGTGACTGATGTAAAATTAACTACTAGTCGGTAGTAATAGTATCATTGTTACTATTATTATTATTATTATCATTATTATAATTGCTTTTTTTAAGGTTGTTGTTTTTGTTATGAATGTTCACTCCCTTTCACTTCCAGTGCTGCAGCTGTGCACAGTAATACCATAATTCATGGTGAGGTTACTTAGGTTCATGACATGAACATTATGACTGCCAATTATTGTCTATCCCTCTCTCTCTCTCTCTCTCTCTCTCTCTTTCTCTCTCTCTCTCTCTCTCTCTCTCCTGTGCAGGTCTCACTGTGAGCAAACTAGACGTCACAAACAAGGAGGAGGTGACAAAATTTCTGGCAGGAATTCCCAAAATTGACATTCTCTTCAACTGTGCAGGGTGAATACCTCCTCAAGCATGAATAATAAAGATCATGGGGGGTGTTTCACAAAGATCCTAAGTTGAACTTAACTCTAAGTTGGACTTAAAAGTTATGGAGAGCCGTTACCATCTTTGAAAATATTTTGTAAAAGTTATTTTAAAAGGCATAAAATGTTCATTCAAATCATTCATACCTTCTATTATCAAGGATATTTCATGTTCTTCAGGTGGAATTTATGAAAAGTCTAAAATACTTGAATTTTTGCTTTTGGAAATATTTAATTTAAAGGCTACAAATGGCTCTCCATGTAAGAATATGTATAAATATTCATTAGGAGCAGCTACACTGTAAGCGCGCACGAAAGATTGTGACGTAATAAAGAGTTTTAAGTCTCATCAGTTTTGGTTTAGACACATGAACACGATGTAGTCCCTGTCTTGTATTGTACTAGTTTAGTTGGATTTGAGTGAATCAACCCTAGGCCAACAGCTATCAAAACATGGTGGCAGCGGTGGGTAGATGTTTTTTTGCCGTTGAAATGATCTTGAGTCTGATCACTGTAGTGATAGCGGATTTTGGACATGCTTTGTGAGACAGAATTGTTGATGACCGAGAACTGAGTTTGGCGACTTCAACGCAGTGCGGTGCGGTATGTACTATAGTGCGTCGTCGTGTATATTCTGTACTACATGTGTGTGTCTTCTGTGAATCCGTATTCCGGTGCACGAGAAAGAACTTTTATGTGTCGCGTGCATGTGGACCTGGAACCACTTCGACGTCGTCGTGCGATGATGTGTGTAATCGAACTCTTGATTGGAGTTTATCGTTATTGGATCACAAGCTAGTCTAGATCGACTCTGGTCTAGATAGGACCTAGATCTACAGTGTATTTGTGGGTGTTCGTGCGGACATGGACATGGTGTAAGCACCCTCCGAGACTAGACTACAGGTGAGCCCAGCACTGCAGCAGTGAAGCAGAAAAGTAACTTCACGCGATGGGAGCATACTTGACTTTGTAGACCTACATATAACAAGTTAGACCTACATTATGAGACTGTGTTATTAACTGGAACTACTGCGCAACTATTGTAACGTCAGTCACTGAGTGAGCCTTTCTTGATGTGCAGACTTCTTTGGACTCCAGTATCACTGCCAGATCTACACTACGACGACAAGGTGTATCCAGAATCTATTCCAGATGTGTTGTCTTCACAAGGAAAAGGGACTTGATGATTGATCAATATCAGATCTAGATCTAGTCTAGAAACTGAGCTTTAACGATCGCCGATAGGTCCATATCTACCTCGGATTGAGTTGGAACTGATATTCAGGACATATAGCTTCAGTATACTTCGAAGAGATTGAACAATTAATTATAATTATATAGGCCTACGGGACTGGACAACAATCAGCTATTAATATTATAAGACTGAGCTGAATGTAAGGAGGGTCACGTGTGGAATTGTTTTGAATTTGATTATTGTTGATAAGCAATATGCCTAACCCTTGTTCTGTACTTTATAGGTTTGAGAGCTATATACTTGTAAGTTGTATGATATATTCAACCAATTGGGGATTCCATGGTACCCATCTGAGTTCTGACTAGTATTATTAGTAATAGTAATACAGATCTACATTTAGATCTAGCTAGTTTGACCATTGTCTTCTGTTAGAAGTTAGTCATGTATAGAAGTGAGATAGACTTAAAATCTGAATTGTAAGAGTTCACGAGGAGGTCTCATGATAATGTCATGTGTATTCAATAATATTGATGGTATCTAAGTTCATGACACATTAGTATTCTAGATGGCCTAGGCAGGGACGTTCTTGTCATTACTTTAGTAGATCCCTGTAATGTGACCTATTGGTGTGAAACTACATAGTCTTGGTTCAAGAGTTGTATGGACATTGTGTGTACCATACTGATTGCCAGTATTGATAGTTTTCAAGTGCATTCTTTCTGTTTATGTGCGGATTTTAAGTATTGGTCCAATGCATTATATTTGTTGTAGTAACTCTGCATGCATGGTACTTTTTGTCTAGGACAGAACCAGGTTCAGTGACATTACATGTAACAGATTGGATTGTACACATTTACAAACATGGCTGAAGCTCAACTTCCCTTTCATATTGCACCACCGCCACCCCTAAGGCATAAAGAAGATAGGGTGGAAGAGTGGAAGATGTTTAAACAAATGTATGAAAATTATGAGGTTATCACTAAGTTAAAGCAACAGGACAGTGAGTACCAAAGAGCTGTATTTCTCCATACAGTAGGTCCTGAAGGTCTAAAAATCTTCAATCTTCAATGCTATTACTTTTGAAAGAGATGGAGATGACAAGAAAGTCGATGTCATTATCCAGAAGATGAATTCTGTCATCATCGGACAAACCAATGAGATATATGAGAGATTCATATTCAACAAGCGGGACCAGAAACAAGGTGAAAGCATCGAAGCATATGTGACAGAGTTGAAACAGCTCGCTAAAACCTGTAAGTTTTGCGACTGCCTGAGGGAAAGCCTCATCAGAGATCGCATCGTGTTGGGAATTACTGATACTGCAACAAGGAAAATCCTCATCCAAAGGAAAGACTTGAAGTTGGAGACAGCTATAGACATTTGCCGTTCTTCTGAAGTCACTGCCTCCCAAATGCAGGTCATTGGAGATGATCCTTCTATCCACAGGGTAGAAAAGTCACATGAAAGAAAGCAGTGGACGAAGAGTCCAAGGCGACAGCCAGAAGGAGAGAATCTCATAAAGTGCAAGTTCTGCGGAAATACTCATAGACGCAAAAAGGAAGAGTGCCCCGCCTATGGGAAGATGTGCAAGAAATGTGGGAAAGAAAACCACTTCGCCATATGCTGTAAGAAGGGATCAAAGTACAAGAAGGAGATCCATAACGTAGAGTCTGAGGATTCAGCAGAGAACCAGACAGAGTCGGAAACGGAATCTGTGAACCACATAGAGATAGAGGTGTACGCTACAGGCACCAAACCATCTAAAGGACTGTTTGCGGAGATGTTGGTTGAGAACAGGCCAGCTAACTTCCAGATTGACTCAGGTGCGAGTGTGAATGTTATTTCAAAGAGCCTTGTCCCGAGTGCAGAAGACATAGTCAAAGAGAACATCATACTGAAGATGTACAACCGTTCTCGTCTTCAAGCAGAAGGTCGGGCTAAGGTCGTGTTGCGTAACACTAAGAACAACAAGAAGTACAGAGTCAACTTCATCGTTGTTAAGGAGAACTTAGTACCACTCCTGAGCGGTCCAGCTGCACAACAGATGAAATTCATAACTGTACATTATGAGAACTTCAACCAGGTCTGTGCTGTAAGCCCTGAAAACATCTTAGAGAGTTTCAGTGACATCTTTGACGAGCAAACTCCTGGAAAACTACCTGGCAAGGTCAAGTTGGTGACCAGGGAAGAAGTGACCCCAACACAGTGTAACGCCAAACCAGTACCAGTTGCAATGAAGCAGAGAGTCAAGGATGGACTTGCTAAATTGGTTGACCAAGACATCTTGATAAAGGTTGAGGAACCAACCCCATGGTGTAGCAGACTGGTCGTTATTGAGAAGAAAGACAAGAATGAATTGAGGTTTTGCATTGACCCAAGACCCCTCAACAAAGCCTTGCAAAGGGAAATACACAGATTGCCAGTCATGGAAGACATTCTCCCGGAGCTGTCAAAGGCTAAGATCTTTTCCAAGTTTGATTTGAGATCAGGCTACCTCCACTGTGAGCTTGATGATGAGAGTAGCTTCCTTACAACAATGAACACCCCGTTCGGGAGATATAGATGGAAAAGACTACCCTTTGGTCTGAATGCGTCAGCGGAAATATTCCAAAAGAAGCTACAACAGGCTTTGGATGGCCTTGATGGAATTGAGTGTGTTGCTGACGACATTATCCTGTTTGGTGTTGGAGACAACAGAGAGCAAGCAGAGAAGGACCACGATTGTAAGCTAGAAGCTCTGCTCCAGAGATGCAGAGATAAAGGTGCCAGGTAAAAATGTCAGAGGAAAAAATGTCAGAGGTAAAAATGTCAGAGGAAAAAATGTCAGAGGTAAAAATGTCAGAGGTAAAAATGTCAGAGGTAAAAATGTCAGAGGAAAAAATGTCAGAGGTAAAAATGTCAGAGGTAAAAATGTCAGAGGTAAAAATGTCAGAGGTAAAAATGTCAGAGGTAAAAATGTCAGAGGTAAAAATGTCAGAGGTAAAAATGTCAGAGGTAAAAATGTCAGAGGTAAAAATGTCAGAGGTACAAGCAAAACAAATGAGTGCCGTCATAATATCTCAGCACTTTTATCACTCAGAATGTCGAGACGTACAGCTACTGCATGGGCTAGTCTATTATATTCCTTTCTAAATGGATGTGTTGTATATCGTACATGTCCTGAGGATAATATAATGTGGAAAATAGATTTTGAAAATTATTTTTTTGTGGAAGCAATCAGAGAAGGTTAATCATCTAGCATAAACATGTAAGTATTGGTGTGTAGTGCAAGGTTTTGGAGTCATCAAAATGATAAAAAATTTGGCCCAGTCTTGGTAAAGTAACAAGCACTGTACACAGAAAGATATTGATATGGGACTACACAAACATATGGCATACAAATCGGGCAGGCATACAAAGATGTTACTTGTTATATCTGGGATATGAAGTCATTTGAAATAGATTTTCAGGGAATAACTTTTTTCTTTGATGTTCTATCACACTTGCATTGAACGCTCACAAATAATTTGTTTTACCTTTCCCCAGAACTCAACCTTCTCTTTAATTGATGTAACATGGGTGGCTTTCTGCTTTGTATCGGAGTAACAAAGCTGCTTATTGATTTTCTCCCAGACTATTTTATACCGCAATAGTAATCGACAATATTTTATTGCAACGCGCGCACTTCGGGAATGTGATGGTGCGGTTAGCATTGATAACATGGCTTTCTGCTTGTTTCAGAGTATCATAATACCAAGCCCTCAAGAAAGTGGAATTGTCGGAAATATGCATTTATT